TGCTGGTTCTCACCTTGACCAGGAGGCGAAGGTAGATATCCTGACTCTTAGGCTCTTTGCGTCGAACCTTCCGGTCCTTGTTGTGGCGTATGTCGACTCCCTGGGACCAAGAAAGAGAAGCTGTCACGTAAGTGGGTTTGTGGGAGAATCTGCCAGACGTGCCTATATACAACCATACCTTCCTCCTTTCTGAGATATAGAAATGTTGGGGTTCTTTATGACTGGGCAGCATATACTGTGCCAGCCTTCACCAACCTGATGCTTTCTTCCCAGGGAACTCTGGGAATTGTAGCTCTCTGAGGGAAATAAAGTCTTCCTACAACTCTCAGCACCCTTAACTAACTACAGTTCCCAACATTATTTGGGGGAAGCCAAGACCATTTAAAGTGGTATCATAGCGTTTAAAGGTATTGTACAGATGGCGGTTAAGTTGCACTGAAAATAGTGGGACTTACTGCTTAGTAAATGTACACAAAACAACAAAGTTAATTTTGGTGGCAATTTCCCCCTCTGCCTCATTTTTTTCATCTGCAGAATGGTGCTAAATAAACAATCGCTCACATAGAGAGGCTTGTGAAGACAATCAATGTTCAAAGACTTTGGGACATTTTGTATGCTATAAAGTGTTGCCAACTAGTTGTCCACCTTCTCTCTTTGATCAGAAGCTTAGGTAAAAGAGAAGTTGGGAAGGAAACTATTCTCAAAATTGCCCATGACAGCACTAATGTGATAGGTTGTGACAGAGATCCATTTGGTTCAGCAGTGTCAACAATGATGGATAGCAGCTCTCCAGGGTCACTCCCAGCCTTGACTGCAGAGGCCAGTGATTAAACCTGGGACCTTCCATATGCAAGGCATGTGCTGTACCCTGTTAGCTGCAACCCCTCCCCAAAATGAGCAATGTGCAAGAGGAAAGAAGTACAGGGATTACACTAATCTAATTACAACCAGCAACTACAGTGGTACCTCTAGTTGCGAACACCTCTGGATACGTATCCTTTGGGCTACACGCGGCAAACCTGGAAGTAACGGAAAGGTTTCCGCCCCGCATGCATGCGCAGAACAGGCGCCCCTGGATGCGAATGCTTCGGGGTAAGAACGGACCCCCGGAACTAATTAAATTCGTATCCAGAGGTACCACTGTAGATGCAAACCATTCTGCAAGTACAATGCCAAATGCACAAGAATGTTTCTGCAATAACTGAATACTGGACTGGTGGCCCAGCTGCACCCCTATCTGGTGCCAACTACTGTTCACTATGCTCTGGTAACCTCTAGGCTGGATTACTGCAACATGTTCAACATAGAGTTGCCTCTGATGATGGTGCAGAAACTTCAACTAGTGCAGAATTCAGTGGCCAGGTTGCTCAGCGGCGCAAGATGGTTTGAGCATATTACACTGATCCTGGCCCAACTGCACTGGCTGCGAATTAGTTTCCTGGCCCAATTCAAAGTGCTGGTTTTGACCTATAAAGCTTTAAATGGCTCAGGACTGCAATATCGCAAGGAGCGCCTCTCCCTACTATGAGGCTGAGATCATCCTGAGGCCTCTATGAAGGTCTGGAGGGTGGCAACATAAGAACGGGCCTTTTCTTTAAATGTGTTTGAGAGAGAGGGATTATTGGTTTGATTTTATTCTTATTGTGTGTGTTTATATTGTGAACTGCCCTGAGATCTGTGGATGAAAGGTGGCATACAAATTCAATTAATAGTAATAGTAATAATAGTAATACAACCAAGGGAAGTTGATATTCAAAGCAAATTTGTTTGTGGTCTAAGTTGCTTGTTACTGCATGCAGTTTAATAAGGGGGTTCCCTTTTTATTGTTTCATGACGACAGGCACCCCAAGTACATGTTCATCTTCTGCACACACGAGCTCCATTCATCCAAGCCATTCTTTCACATCAGAACCTGTTAATCGCCTGCATGCTCACCTCCCACATGCCCAAAGGACCCACCACACTAAGCCCCTCTCTTTCTCTATCATGAATAACCAAGGGTTATGCCTAGCTGCAAAATCCATTCTCAATGCAACTGCCCCATTCTCTGCTTCTAAGATGCCCCCCCTTCCCATTCACACCTGCATGGATAAAGTTCTATTACACAAAAGTAAACAGCATCTTCCATACTCCTTTCTCACTATGGCCACACCTACTGCTGCTGCTGCTGCTATGATGTAAACCTCACTGGTTGGCACCAGGAATGGGCAACCTGCAGCCCTTCAAGATGATGCTAGCCTGAAACTTCCACCAGAGCTAATCACTTGAACTTTTTTGTTGGCAATGATGGGAGTTGGAGTCCAACAACATCCAGAAGGGTCACAGGTTATTTGTTTATTTGTTTGTAACAGTGAATTAAAACCCCATCTCCGTTCTAAAGCTAGTATGCTCCTCGTGCAAAGGCTGAACGTCCACACTCCGTGTTATTAAGAGTCAGCTTTGAAAGGCTGAAAAGTGCAGTATTTCTAGAAACCAGGAAGCTGCCTTATAGTGTCAGATCATTCGTCCATCTAACTCAGAACTGTCCACACGGATAGGCAGCACCTCTCCCAAGTTGCAGGCAAGAATCTCTCCCAGCCCTACCTGGAAATGCCAGGGACTGAACTAGGTACTTTCCACACACCAGGCAGATGCCCCGCCACTGAACTACGACCCTTCCCAAAATGTCGAGATCGATAATGGCTGTTACAGCAAGAACTATAAATATCAAAGACGCAGAGACGGAGAATGGCTACGTTTCAGCTGGGTATTTAGAGCAAACTTTTCTGAGAAAGCATGCCGCAGCTTCTCGTCTGCCTTCTTTTTTAGCATAAAACGAGCCCGTAATCGTGTTTTAGATAAGACCTGTTTTTTATTTTCCCCCTGTGTAATGTCAGGACGTGCACACACGCATGTAGACTCCCCCTTCCTCTGTCCAATCTTAAGCGGCTCCCGCAACGCTCCTAGGCCCCAAATCCATCCTGCTCCTAAAGAGAGACACACACACACACCCTCCGCGGTGGTGTCTCTCCGGGCACCGGCTGAGCCCGCCAATACTAGTCTCCCCGGGCACTCCAGGCCCTTCTCCACACCGGCGCGGCACCACCCGCTGTTCACGCCGCCTCCCCGGGAAGGATTGCAACCGATTCAACTCCCAGCTCCCTCCGATATCAGGACTCACCATGGCAGCGTCAGCAGCGCCCGGAAAAAAGGGAAAGGAAGAGGCTGTAGGAGCGCAAAGAATTGTGGGGAAGGAAGGGGCGAGACGGGAGGAAGGGGCGTGGCTTCTGTTCTCTATAGTAATTCTAGGATATGCACCATAGACGTACGACAACCATAGACTGACAATTCCTTGGGTCGAAGACGGAGCTTCCTAGTTTCTTTTATTTACTGTACAGTACTGTATATCATTTCCACTATACCCCTTCTCCTATAGGAAACGAAAGAGAAATCTTAAAGCTGATGCTGGGCAGCAACATGTAGTTAATATCGCCAGCCCACCCGAAAAAGTAGAAGCAAAGCCAGGATTTCGATGCTTTTTCAAGCTAAGGGCTGATTGTGCAAGGAAAATATAAACAGGGATGCTTTTAAAAGGAAAAGAAAGAAATGCTCTGCAGGTTGCAAGATATATTCAGAGTTATTATTTCCATATTGCCATTTTGTGCCTGAGCTCAGTGAGTCAGAATCAGCTCTGCAATGTAGTTCGGCTGTTGTTATTCCCATATTACGGTTGGGTGTCTCAGAACCACTGTGTATGATGCTGTCTACAGTTCCTCAATCATCCATTCTTTATTGATTGCATCATAATTATCATTTTACAGACCACTTAATGCCAAAATAGGCTTCCAGTGGTTTACAAAGTGGGAGCATCCGTAACATAAACATTAAAATATAAACATTCATAATTAAAATACCCAATAAAACAATCCCATTAAAACAACACAGCAATTACAACAGGAAACTATACAGTAAGCATGTGGTGTTATCAACATGCAATCAGTAAGTTGAACATAATAATTATATTTTTATGTCATTCCAATCTCTGAGTGCTGTGAGATTCCAGGGGTTCCTGGCACTTACTCAGGGTTCCAGCTTCCTTTAGAATGTGGCACAGTGGAGACTGTGGTTTCTTTAGTATGTATAGTTTATTTACACATATATCCAACCTGAGCCTATGATGGAGGGGCTCATGGCATTATCAACCCTAAAAAGTCTTGCTTCTCCCATAGCTACAGCCTCTCCCTCTGCCTTTCCAGGCTGCAGCGTTTGCCTCCAGCTTCTAGCTCACATAACTCAGCTCTCCACTCTGCCCTTTGGTCTTTCTAGGGGGGGCACTCTTTGCCCTCTGGCAAAGATCCACACCCTTCGTCCTTCATAAGGAACTCCGCTTTAGCAAGCCATTACCAGGCTGGCCTGGTTATTCCAACAACTGAATCTGTGCTGGATCCAGAAGTTAGAGGGGACCCAGGCATTCAGCCTAAACCGCCCCCACCCCTCCAATTCATAACAACATTAATAGGGTATCTAGACTAGATCTTTCAGCTGAACTTTGTTTCACCAGCAATGTCTGGGGGAAGTTGGGGAAGCCAATACGAAAATCCCTTGAAAAGCTGCTTGAAAGAAGGATGCAATACGAGGATGCCCCTATGGAAAGCGACTTGTTCGACTTATTTGGTGCTCACGCGAAGAGAAGCAACAAAGCAAAGCCTGCATTCCAGTAACAAAGATGGCTGCTATCGTCGGGGTGGGGTGTTAAGTTCTCGCGCCTTCACCACTTCAAAGATGGTGCGAATACGTGAACTACCGTGAGGCGTACCCTGTCCCTCACTTAAGATGATTTGCTGCACGTCGAGCGAAGCATTGAAACTTCGCCCGCGTCCAAAATGGCCGCTACGTCTTCCTTTCCCCCTGGCCCGGACTGAAACGCCATCCTTTTCACTTACTAAAGATGGCCGCCATTTATTATGGAAATAGAATCAAGTCTCTTTCTCGCTGTGACCTTGCCCCCACTACAAAACCCTGCGACCTCTCCTTTCTTCAAAACCCGGCCTCCTTCTAATATTACGGCTCCCTTCCCTTAGTGAAGATGGCCCCCTCCGCTGCCTCTCCACACCTTTGCCCTGAACAAATATGTCAGCCTCCACCCATTGCCACCAATGCCGCCGCATCTGACTCGGCGGCGGGCAGGGGCGGCATTCCTGAATGGGCCGGCGAAAGGCCTTGTCTCTCTCTCATAGGCTAAGGGCGAACTCTCCCCGCCCCCTTTCCACCCGACTCATCCCTCCCCCAAGGTAGAAAACAGAGCACTTCCTAGCTGAGCACGAGAAGGAGTGTGGAGCTGGGAGAGGCAGGAGGGAAGGAGCGAGAGGGGGGTGGCGGGCGGGCGAAGAGGAGAGCGAACAGGAAGAGGATGGCAGGGAAAAGGAACTGCTGAGCGGGGTCGGGGACCGTCGCCTGTCAGGTGTCGGAGGGAGGCGCTCGAAAGTGCACGGAGCTGCTGGTTTTCCTTTATTGCCCCCATCCCCGCCGCTCGCTCTTCCAAGACTCTGCTCCACCGACTCCAAGCAGGCACTGATTCTCCTCAGTGTAGTCTTGTATGCTTTGGACAAAGGCGCCAAGTGGGGGTGAGTTGGGCGCCTCGTTTTTTGGTGTGTGGTGGTAGGGATACTTCATAGTCCCGCTGCATTTGCACTACGTTTTTATAGCACTTTAGAAAAAAAAAGGCTTTCTTTCCCGTCCTTTCGATTTCATTTATAAGCTTGTGGTGGTGAAATGATTTGTCTTCTCTTGCCCTCCACTCGTTTAAAATAGTGGTGTTAGGTGGTGAAGGCGATATACAATCTGGATCATAGCTTAAGCTCTTTTAAAAGCTGAGCTGCCAAAGTATGCTGGTATGAAATGCTAGGCAAGTCGTTCTTTTAAAAAACCGACAGCTTCCAAACCTGGCCTCTAGCTCAAGTCCTAAAGGCAGCCTTTTCCAAATAGTATTTCCACATTTCTTTTGTTTCCTTCTTTTTCCTCCTCGGCACCATCACCTGAACAGCTAAAACTTCTCTGGCATCCTTTGTTAAGCTGTTGGACTTGGGATCTCTTCCCAGTGAGAGCTGCATATCCTCAGTGACTCATTTGGATTCATGAGAGTCTCATAGCTGGGACACCTTCCGGACTACATTCTTAAGCTCCTTGCCTGAAGGTGAAAATCATATTATTTGAAAACACCTGAAAAGTACCTATTTGCTAGGGAATGCAAACATTTTAAAAAAAACCTTTGTTAGCTTTTATCTCATTTCTCTCCCCTGGTCTTTACGCAGATAGCAGGGCTTCCTTTTTTTCCTTTCTTGTCCTAAATCTGTAGTAGCTCAGACAGGTTGGTTTTTGGTCCTGTAGGCTTTTGATGTGGCCCTGCCTCATAGCATTCTTTTTGTGAAGAAGCAAGAGGAGAAAAGTGTGTGTGTATACACTTCCCCCCTTTAAAACTTTTTGTTTGTTTGTTTACTGACACACAGGATCTTGCTCAATGAAGAAAGAGAAAACCCTGGGAAACGGTTGGGCAGCTTGAACTGTGGAGGAAGTTTCTTGGTTTAAAGGGCTGCATGTGCCACTTAATCTACTAAGGAAATGAAAAGATTTTCAAATCCTCTTCTTTAAATCTGCTGCTTCTGGGGGAGAGGTTAAAGGGAAAGGGTTCGGTTGCAGTGAGTTGCAACCAGCTGTTGACAGGCTTAGCAAAAGGTGAAAAACAAAACTGCAAAGCTGGGGCTCCGTAGCGAGATGAACATGTTTTTGGGGGCATGTGGGGAAGGCTCTGAGACTCTCCTACATGGAGAATTTGGTGCCCACCCCCCGAAGGGGACCCGCTATGCCCTCAGTCTCACGCGGACAGAGTTGCATATCCAGCGCCTGGTGCCCAAGCCAGATACAGATCACCGGACGGTGTTGCAGCTGATTGATGTGGTGGGCTGCCACACAATGCGCAGCCACACAATTGCGAACCAGTCAGCTTTCTTCAGTGTCTACGCTTACCCGCTGAAGAAGAGGAAGGTGGCGGTGAGCTCTGGGCGGGTGCGGCAGCGGACTGCGAGGACCTTTCAGGTGGACAGCGCAGACTGCTACGAGGATAACCTAAAAGTGGCTGAGAGGTGGGCAGCTGCCATCAAGTGCCTGGTCTTGGGGATCCCCATCTCGAGCGAAACAGGTAAGGGATGCCCTGCACAATCCTTTGAGTGTTGCTTCTTGCCTAGAGAAACTATGAGTCCTCGCTACTTACAAGTGGTAGCCTTTCCTAGACTCTGATGCTTCAGATTGTAGGTGGGTTATCACCAATTTTTTTTAATGCTTCACCTATAAAATCCTTCTTGCTTGTAGAAAACTGACCCATCAGGGAGGTGTTCAATGCTAGCCCTTCCCCTGATATGCTCCTCCCCACCCCCTCCAAAATAGGGAAGTGTTTTTAAAAAAGCCCCTGCCATGTGATTTTGCCAAATATGTAGAGTTTGTCTAACACTCTCCTCCACAAAATCAAATAGGTTTACTACCGTGTTTCTGCTCCTAATATTGTCTTCAAGAACTCAGGAGACCTAGATACCAAAATCCCTTAGTTTTATAATGTTTTGTCTATCCCCACAATCTCTCTCTTGACTTAGAGAGCTGTTGGACTGATTGTGGCTGGTGAGGTTTGTGGTCTGAAAGATCTGGAGGATGCCTGGCTAGCAAAGGCTGGCCTAGGTGGAGATATCCTGGACTCCATCCTCCTAAATCAGTAATGCTGCCAGACCCTCCCTATGATTCTTGGAACCCTTAGCTTCTGCAGTATTTTATTAACTTATTAAATGAGATACTTACTAAATGACCCAGCTTATCTTGCAGGGCAGAGGATTATTGTACTAAACTTGTACATAACAAGAGAATAATTGTAATACTCAGAGTTTCGTAAGATGCTTGCCTCTGGCACCACTGTAGTTTTTGGCTTTATAGACTGGGGTGTGCAGGGAGTTCATAACATTAGTTGAAAGGCGGAGATGCTCTGAAAGTGCTCTTGCTGCATTCTGTTCAAATGAAGTTCCCCCTCTTTTTCCCTCTGTCTCAGAGCAGGGGTAGCCAACATGGTGCCCTCCAATGTTCCTGGGCTACTGCTCCCACTCTCGCTGACCATTGGCCATACTGGCTGAGGATGGTGGGAGTTGGGAGTCGAACAACATTTGAGGGGTAAGCTCATGGGCAGAATAAGGTCTGTACGTTTGCAGCAGAAGCTGGTAGTGCACAGCGCAGATTGCCCAATGTCTGTGATGTCACAAACTCGCCTGCCATCAACCTCATCTACACCAGTGTAACTTCTAAAGTAGGTGGTGCCTTTTTTAAAAACAACAACGAATAATGAGATGATAGAATGAGTTTTTAAAACAATAAAAGTGGTGCTGTCAAATTATCATTTATCACCCCCCCCCCCGCCAAATCTTTCTACCTGAAGAGCAGGAAGAGGAAGACAAGACTGATAACTGAACCCAGCATTTGATTTACACATACTTATGATGTAAAAGTGGATGGGAACCATGTGGAGAAAAATCTCCCATGACTCCTTTAAAAAATAAAAATAAAGACTGCAGTTCTGTGCATGCTTACCTGGGATAAGTCCCTTTGAACTTCAAATGTGCTTATTTCTGGGTAGTGTATAGGACTTCACTTACACAGGCTATGTCTGCATACACCTGGGATAGTGGCAGACTGGTTGTGGGACTGGCTTTTCCTGTGAGGCAGGGATGGGACATATCTGCTTCTTTCTATATTGCTGAACTCCTCAGCTCACATTATCCCTGACCTTTGACCAAGGCTGGCTGGAGTGTCGGGAGCCCAGCCTTGTGCTGTTAGAAATAGAGCTCTGGAATCTTCCGTACCCGAAATCCTTGGTGTTTGCTTTCACTTCCCCGATTAAGGACGCGGAAATGCATTTTGCTAACATTTCCTTCAACTGGTCATATTCCGATGTTTAGCTAAAATGCATGAAGTGAATGCAGGACAAGTCATACCTTCCAGCCATCTAGATGGATAAACACCAGTTACCACCATTCTGCCATGTGCTGGGCTGGGTGGGTGTATGTGTGTTTTTATGTGTTGCCACGCTCATTTTCTGGCTGCACCCACCACAGACGTGCTGATTCCAGATGGGCTCTTCCCATCTGGGCTCTTCTGCCTGAAAAAGAAAAAGTTCAGCACCTCTGCTTTAATGTGGCCCATAAAGAGAACCCAGGGCAGGACTGTGTAGATCTCAGATCTTAGTAGTTTCCCTTAAGTCGGCAGGTGGTCACCTGGGACATTCTTGAGAGGCTCCCAGACCTATTTTTCGCTCTGGACACTGTGAGGTGGTAAATGCAGCCCCACCTTGGCCATGTCCCTAAGCGTTGAAGGCTTGCCCTCCATTTGCAAGGGGGACGACGACGAAATGCTGCAGTGGGGGTAGATGGGCCTGGAAGCAGTGTTCGGAATTAGCCAGGGGCCTTTTGGCCTTGGCTAGCAGCCACTTGAGACCAAGTGACTACGCCTGGGTGCCAGGATAGTGCCCGACATCTCCACTATCTGGAGGTGCATGCTTGGGGATCTTGACTGTTTTCACAAACTAATACCACATCCTGTAGAATTCTATCAGTTATATTTTATCTGCACGGTCAGCATAAATTTCAGGAACTGAAATGCTTTTTCTGTGCAGCCTGAGCAGGAGCAATAAATGACATTATAGTTAATTGTTGTTACTTGTCTTCACCTGCCCCAACCCACTGTCCTGCTCACAGTTGTGAAGAATCTCCTTAAGTTATGAATGGACCATTAAGAAAAAGAGAATAGGCCGATATATATGTGGGCTATCCCTGGACAAAGTGACTTTTCTTCTTTTAATTTCTCGAAGCTTTTAGCCTAGCTCAAGGTTGTCATCTGAACTAGCCAGATGTTTAACTGATAATCAATCACAGTCAGTCCATCATTTGAAAAATAAGACTTTAGCACCATCTTGCCCCCAAATGACAACTAGACATTCCGTTTTGGCTACTGTAACCTTGGTTGAAGGAGCCATTTGGTGCCTAGCTTATATGTCTGAGTTTCTAACCCTGCCTGGAAGTTAGGAAAGAAAAGCAATTGGGGCCAAGGGAGTGGCTGAAACGTTGCTTTTCTCCTCAACCTGTCAAAACTTTACAGATCTTAGCCATTTGTCAGGGCTGTGCCTCCTTTACTTACAGTGCAGGTTTGGCAACTCTTGTATGCTTGTGTGTTTGTGGCCTTGTCTTCAATGTGAATACTTGCTTGGTTTCATTTGCGTTGGCCAATCTATTAAAAGGGATTAACAGCATCATATTTGCCTATCTCCAGGGCAGCTTTCCTCCTCTTGCAGTGCGTTTGCTTTCTCTGCTGGGCACAGGGGAGAGGGAGGCTCCTTTGTCCTTCATCCACTAGTCTTCTCACTCGCCTGCAATGCAGCTCCTTTTCACCTTTGGCTACCCAGGCTAGGGCTTAAATACAAGGCTGGTCTGAAGTGGTACACAGTTCATCCTGCCCACCTTGCAATCTCTTAAGCATTTCGTTCCTACCACATGCTGGTGCTTTTGTAGAGTAGGCCTCCTTCCTCTTTTACAGGGGTGTGATCAGGAGAGCTGAACCTGAGGCATCTGTGTGAAGAGGACCCCACAATACAAGATGGGTACTTTAGGACATATGTCGTGTCTATCCCATGGACTTTACATATACACTGAGAACAGGCATGGGAATCTACTATGTATTTTGGAAAGCATTTGGATTTCACTTAAGATATTGTAACCAACTTTGGCATGATGATTCCTGAGGTCAAGGAGCAGGTTTTTATCTTATGTATGGATATAATGGGTTGCCATTTTGAAGCAAGATGGGGGATGGAACCTTTGAAAACCACTGTTTTTAACCACCTATTTTAAAACTTCGCTGGTAGTTTACTTTATTATTATTATTATTTTGTTTCTTAGAATTCCTGAGCAATGGCAGACGCAAGGCTGCTAGTGTAAGACAAAGCCCCAGATTAACCTCAGATTGGGGGCATAGGAAAATGGGAAATGGAATAAGGACCTTATGGAGTCCATTCAAGCAGGTGTGAACTCAAACCTTGACAGGGGAGTGGGGACCAACCTAAGCATTTGCAGAGTATCTGTTGGAGGAAGGGAAAGGGGGAGGGCACCATTGCTGCCCACTGCAGAGCCCCTCCCCCATGCCGCCATGCACCCTCTTCGTGTGCTGGTTAGACCTTCTGTTATGAAAGGCATCATAATAGAAGATTGGAGATTTAGAAACAGGATTAAATGTGTGTGTGGGAGGGTGGGTATTTTGACTGTGCAGAGTTGGCAATCTGTTCCTGCCCGAGGTGCAGCACACCTGGACCTTCAGCCTATACAAACAATACTACTGGGGGTGAAATTGATCAAACAGGCTCCAATGCACGATGTTGGATTGTGCAACCAGACTTCATATGGCACTGTTCTTGGCAATTTAGGTATACAACTTCTTGTTGGTGGACTACTTGTTCCAATAACAGTTGCAGTGAGGGATATTAAAGGGCAGCGTTCCCTCCTGAGTAACCAAACACTTTGGTCCTGGGTGCTGCTAAGGCCTATGCTCTGCCATTGCGGACAGTTGGCCAGATTTGGTTGGAAAGAGGTGAAGTTTGCCACAGAAGTTCCAGGAGAAGAGTTCTCAAGTGAGCGTAGTTCATCTGAGAGAAGCTGGGTAGGCTGAAGAAGGTGGATACACAATGAAGTCTGGAAGACATTGAAAAGAGGCTCACTACTTCAAGGCTGTTGACTGTCCTCTCCTGGTTGCTGTTGTTGATGGCACTGTTAAAAAAAAAGAGAATACTAGGTTGCTTGACCTGTTGACTGTATAGCCAAGCACCTAGGAAACCAAACAATAATGTCGCTGCCGGAAGGGTTACAGTTAGTGTGAGGAACAGTTGAGAGACTTGGGTATGTTTAGCCTGGAGAAGAGAAGACTGAGAAGTAAATATGTCAGTCATCTTCATGTATATGAAGGGTTGTTCGTTTCATGGAAGATGGTTCCATAGCTTGTTTTTCTGTGACTCCGGAGGGAGGACACGAACCAGCAGATTCAAATGACAAGAAAGGAGATTCCAGACAAACTTTAGGAAGAACTGTATGACAGTAGGAGCAGTTTGACAGTGGAATGGACTAC